TTCCTAATTTCTTAGTCTTCTTCAAGTGTCCTTTAGATGCTGGCTAGCATTTCTTCAAGAGAAAGTTATGTTAGTGTAAGATATAAGTGATTTGGTATTCTGGCGTAAAAGTACACCAAGCATACTTATCAAAAAAAGAAGAAAAAAACACCAGGCATACAAGAAGCATGAAGACAAAAAGGGCGATTAGCCACATGATATAGGCAACTCCATTGATGCTTAAAGGATATCTTGCACAAATCCTAGACAACTGACTGGGTCAAATTTCCTTCCTGTCTGCGGTATTGGACTTGCTTTGGGATAAGCATGTGTTCACACTGCTAGGTGATGGTCATTGCTCTTCTTTCCCTTTAGTTTTACAGTAAGAAGCAAATAACTGGCGAAACTAAAAGGAGTACACGCCCAAAAAGTAGGTTCCAGCAATTACATTGCTTGATCAATCTACACCCATGCCCTCCAACCCCACAGAAAGTAAATAGGAAGAAAGCATCACATAAAGGAGATGATCACTGACAAAAACCACGAAGCAAAAGCACTTACACGACAACAACAGAAGCCAATTGAGGAAGCTCTTCGCCTTTATGGAACAACTCTTCCATATCGTTGAGCCAAACTGAAATTGCAGTGCATGCACCACCAGGCCACATCCTAAAACAATAGAAAATAATTAGAGAAACACCACATAACTATTGTAATATACGCCCATTTTCAATATTTCCTACCAAGGAACAATTATGCTTGCACTATTTACAGAGTTGGGGCAGGTTGAAGAAACGGGTAATTTAATTTAAACATAGTAACACCATATCCCTAAGAAAACGAGTACCTATGAACATCCACAGACCACACAAGTTTGTTTCTTCGAAACAGTTCAGGGAATAGCCCCCTTTTTGTTGCTTCATTCAGCACTCTTGCAGCCCTTTCTTTCTGGCCTAACCACCAAAGTGCTTCTATAAGAGTGTTGTAGAACCTCATGCTCAAACCACAGCCTTCTGAGTTGAGTTTGTCAAAGACATACTCAACCATCTGCCAATTATTTTCATCATCAAAATCTCCGTGAATCATTTGTCCAATAACTTGGTGCATATCAGAAGTCTTATTTGTCATCACGTCGTTCAACAATTCACGAGCCATATTCCACCTAATAGAAGAATTTCAAGAAATAAAACATATAAGAATATTGGAAGCAAAAGGAAAGAAGAAATGTCTTCTCTGTTACTCCAGTGATGCAAAAATTTACAGGAATTCATCCACCAACTTTTTTTTTAATTGGTAATTCATCCACGAACTCTAAGAGCATCCAAGCATCAACTACTATATTAGACTAGGACCAGCGCAATTTTCATGGCATAATCTATGCTGAAGCTTTCGGACATAGGCTAAGCTCCACTTACACCCTAATGCCAAAATCTTGCCAGTAACAGAAGTTTCTGCAAATAATGAGCAACACAAGGAAGTACAAATGCACAAATCCTGAAGTATGAAAAAGTTAAAGAATAAGGTAGAAGAAGAAACTATATGAAATTTATGGAAAAGAAGTTCAAAATGTAATAGACTAGATCAGATGATGCACACAACTAGTCAAACAGTTTAACTTCACACTGCATTTTGTAGAAATTGGAAATTCAAATATTGTATTTCCACTTAGTACCTTTAGAAGTACAGTCTTATAAGGGCATCTCCAAGGGTGCACTATTTTTTGCACCAAATCTAAATTTGGTGTAAAATTTGGTGTTTTCTTGCTCCAATGGAACACCAAATCTTGCACCATTATAGTGCGTGAATTGTGTCGCACCAAATTTGGTGCGACACTATTCATCAACACCAAATTTGATTTATTATTATTTTATTCATCTTTTTATTTTTTTGGACTTTTAATTTATTATATATTGTGTATATAATTAATTTTCATATTAAGATCTTTATAATTTTAATTTTATATCCTATTTTTTGATATATTAATTTTTGTATATATTATACTTCGTATGCATTAGTCGAGCATTTATGGGAGAATAGAGGCGAAAGTTGAATATTTATGTGGTACTTAAATTAAATTTGACTATGATGTAATATTTATTTAACTATCTTTTATCAATGATTTCACTTTTAGTTGATTTATCCTTTAAAATAATTTTGTAATAAATGATTATATAAGTGGTGAATGTGAATTATATATGATGAATATGGAAAAAAGAAAAAAGATAGAATTTGTTTGAAGGAAATAAAAAATGAAATTTAAATAGAAGATAATAATATAATATAGAAGAGAAAGAAGAAATATTCTTTTTTTGTATAAAAAATGGTGTAATGGTTGGAATAAATTTGGTGTTACACCGTTTTGGTGTGAAATTTGGTATTAGGGTTGGAGATGGTCTAAGAAGCTATATCCAGCAAGTAGAAAGACAATATAAAAATGGGTCTAAAGAACCATTCTGAGGTACCAATGTTATATTAATAGAACCATATCAAGTTTTAAAATTTGAGGAATCGGCTGATAGGAAATTAAATTCTAACCTCTCACTTTTTGCGTAAATTGCCAGCATCATACAGCAGCAAATGATGCTAGGCTGAATGCCCAGTGATTTAATTTCCTGAAACTGCTCCTCACTTTCGTCAACTAGGCCTGCGAAGCAGTAAACACTCAAAACTGCCTCAAGCGTCCGCTCATCTGGATCACATCTTGCCTTTTCCATCTCAACATAAGCTTTTATAGCTTCTTCGAACTGACCTCCCTGTCTATACCCTTCAATCATCCCGTTGAAAGAATCCCTGTTCCGTGGAACTCCAACCTCACCCATTCTAAACCATATTGCTTCAGATTCTTTGTAAAGCCCCCCTTTAGCAAATGCATGGATCAGAGAATTGAAAGTCTCCACCATCGGTCTGCTTCCTACCTCATTCATAGTATTAAAGGCAACAACTGCCTCCTCATACAGCGCAGCTTGTCCATAAGCTTCAATTACGCCAGTATACACTTTAGAACTAGGCACCAGACCTTGTCCATTCATATGCAGCAGAATCCTCTTCGCATCATCGTGAAGGCCTCCCTTTCCACAGGCATATATCAAACCTTCATAAGTCTCCATATTTGGTTCTACCTTCTCCTCAACCATGTCATGGAACAATGTCACCACCTCCTTAAAATAACCACCTTCACCAAATACCTGGATGAGAATATTGTATGTATCTGCATCTGGCTCCGTATTACTCATTTTCATCTCAAGGAAAAGGTCCCTAACCTGATCATACCTCCCATTTTTCCCATATAAATTCAACAGAACACTATAAGTTTCTGCATTAGCCACACATCCAGCTGTCTGCATTTGCCTAAACACATCCATAGCCTCTTTCATAGACCCCGAATGCGCATAAGCCTCCAATAAGACATTATAGGAGGTGACCTCCGGCGAGGTACCCCCAGCCTCCATTTCCATGAGTAATTCTGACACCTTTTCCAACTTCCCCAGTTTGCCAAAAGTATCCACCAAATAACTGTAAGTAGTTACATCAGGCAAAACCCCAGCCTCGTTCATCGTCCTAAAAACCATCTCTGCCTCATCTCCTAACCCTCTACTTGAACAAGCACTTAGCAAAGTATTGTAGGTAACTAAATCCGGTTGAATACCCTCATGTCGCATCTCGGCAAATAGACTCAATAACCCTTCCCATTCATGTCCACCTCGAGCACAAGAGTTAATAACTGTGTTATAAGTCAAAATACTAGGAATTATCTTTTCTTGCTTCATTTTTTCAAGTAGTTGAAGAGAAGTTTCGTATTGTCCATTACGGCCATAAGCATTAATAATAGCAGTGTAAGAGAATACCGTTCGTGCCACACTATGACTTGGCATTTCGTCGAATATCTCGAAGGCTTTATCAAGAAGGCCTTCACGGCCTAATATTCCAATCATGAGAGTGTAGATGTGCTCATTGGGCTTGCACCATATTTGGCGCTGCATGTACTTAAAGAGTCGCAGGGACCGCTGCCAATCGCCACGCGCCGCGAATTCCTTGAACACGTGGGAGAAGTCAGTGAGAGAGAGCTTGTTTTTGAAAGTATCCAAGCACCGGGCGATGCTTCCACGTGGTGGGAGGCTCGAGAGTTTGTTTATTAGTGTTTCGACATCATAACTGTACTTGCCTTTCTCAACGGTGACCGTTGGGTTGCCTAAGATGAGCTCTTTTGGCTTGGCTCTAACGGCAACTGTTAGAAGAAGACGGCGGTGGACGGGGGAGAGCTTTCCGTAGTTTGGGATTTTGGCCGGGAACAGGAAACGATGAGAGGGAGGGACTGGGGTGAGGACTGGAGAGAAGGAGTTGTACGATAGGGACATTTTGGTCAATCTAACATGTGTCGCTGTCTAATAATCAGGAAGTTAACCGACGCCGGAAGATGGAGAGCGAGCGATGAAGTGGCGGAGCACGGTGGAGCAGAGCTAAGGTTTAAGCTGGGGTTTCAAGGAGGAGAAGAAGAAGTAGCTGAAGGACACGTGGATAATGGTGGCTGTGGATAATAATGGCGTAAAATAACTGAAAATTTATTATTTTCCTTCAGCCCCCTGTGCATTTTCTACTTTTCTTCTTTTGAATTATTTCTCATATTTTGGGTTCTTTTTCCTTTTGCTTTACTTTGTGTTGCCACTTGAATAATCCTCGTCTCATGACATTTCAATTTAAGTAGTTAGAACTTAGAAATTGTTATTACTCTACTTTTCAGATTATCCTTTTCAAGCTTATTGTATGATTTACTTGTTGTAAGTCGATATGTACACCGGTTCCGTCAAACCTAAGTTTTATTGCCTTGATTAATATCCTGGAGTAGTTCTATGGTCGATCTGTCACCCAACCTACTTAAACAACCTAAAGGCTACGACCGTCCTGTTTGGAGAAAGACCCCTTAGGGCACGGCTTAGTCAGACCCTTAGGGCACGGCTTAGTCAGTTATTCTCGCAGTTCAGACAAAGAACGAAAACAAACGAATGATCAACCCCAAACCCAAATTGAAAACAAAAGAAAAGACCCCCAGAATAAGCCATAAATATCAATCAGCTATCACCATGTGTACACTGTAACTCCACTTCTCTATTACATGAGTGCCCGATAAGAATATAATTTCTACTGAAACATCGATAACACTACAAATAACTTGTCTAACTTGACTAATGTTGGTCTTCGTTAAACCTGATTTCTACTATTGCACAACATATTCAGACTAGGAGTTCATAGTCCGACAACGTTACCATCTCCACCAAACGCATATTAGTTGTAACCATCTCCACCCAAACGCATATTAGTTGTAACCCTCTCCGGCATTTGCTATCAAGTGTATGGTACTCCAGTCATTGCAACTGGACCATAGAGTTAGTATAACACATCTAGGCTGAGCAACTTCACCAAAATCAGCTTGCAGCAAATGACTTATCACAGCAGCAATATTCGTGGAGTTACATAGTCACAGAGTGCGCCGGGGCAGCACAAAAATGGAGGTTCGCTCAGCACTGTAGGCAGGCTCCACGATATGGAGTCCAGTTGTGATGAAACAAGTGACCTCGTGCAAAAAGTCATGTAAACAACTCCGGAAATGACCACATTATGAACTTAGCAAAAGTGTCCGACTCCAAGAACTCTATATGAGCAGCCCTTCCAATTATAGTATTCAAGTTCCTTCCTTGCAATGTTGTGTCAAAGTTGACGTCACACCTCATGAACACTCGATGCTCGGATGACGGAGCACGTATCTGGTCCAAGCAATCATTCAGCATCTCCAGGAATACCTTTCCCTTTTTAGAGTTGTCTCCTGAAGATGCTTGGCACATTTCAATTCTTGCAGAATGATATGGAACATAACCATCCTGAAAAGACAGAATCAGTGATCATAACACCAGCAAAGATAACAATAATCTCAAAGAGCAGCATGTCCCTATTGAGACAGTTCATTTGAGCAGTGCAGTGATAATAACACCGGTTCTATTGACCGACCTCTGTATTTTAACACCACATAGTGGTTGCCTAACTAAAACAAGGTGTACAGTTGAAATAGTGAGAGTTGGTAAGAAAAATGTCGCAGTAACGAGATTGGTGTTTAAAAACTGCAACTAGCAAAGACGTTAGAAGTAACAATAAACAGCATAGAAGGGTGCTTTTCTTTTTCCATACTGATATTATCTTTACGGAAGTCACAAACTCTAATTGGAACGGAAGACAGTGGATGTGGACACCATGATGAGGCAGGTGGGGAGGGTCAAGGTGCTGAGGTGTTTCCATACAGAGGTGGAGAGGGGAGTGAGCCAGTGAGGTGTGCGGTGATAACTGTAACTCAGTTACCAATCAAATTACAAGCAATTCTTGATCCACACTGAAAAAGTGAAATAAAAATTAAAGCAGTTCCGGAAGCTATTTGAGTATGCATACACCCAAATATTTAACAGTTTTATGCCCTTCCAGGTCTTTATGTTCCAATCAATTGATTTTGTGCTGTGTGTTTAAAGTTGCAGGTTTCCCTTATATTATAGAAAAAACGCATGCGCTTTATGATACTTCAGAAAATTATTCTCCGCATAAAATCTGCCATAAGAGCAACATGTGCTTTACTCTTGTGTCAAGCAATTAATTTCAGTGATACAATTTATTTAGGAGATAGCACCAGAAGGCAAGCTTGTTAAACTTAGTCTAGAATGCCTTACGAATATAAAGGCCATGGAATCTGTAGACAATATCATTTGTACTTTCTATCTCTAGTAACCAATGGCTAATATTTTACACAGAAAATTATATTTCAATTAGATACTTCCAATGCAATTCTCATACTATGTATGTTGCTTAAAAGACTCAGATAAGTGACTTTTAGAAGAAAGTTTCTACTACTGATCATAGCCGACATGCATTTCAACTTCTCTTACTTTTGAGCCTTAAAACCATTGTTCAGCATCTGGCTAAAAACTTTCTTAGCACAATTCCTTTCCAAATCAAAAACCATCATTAACCCGCGTACCATCTGATTTTTATTTTTTTTCTATCTTTTTTGGGTAATGGTGGTGGCTGGGCCACATTTCTATTCATTCAACAAGTTGAACATCCAAAACTTGCTTTACATCAATTCTCACAATTTTTTGGTAAAGGACATCAATTCTCACAATGAAGAAAAGATACAGAGAGATCATCTACCAATCAAAAAAAACAGAGAGATCATCTCTCAAACCAAATTGTCTCAAGATGAGTACACCCAATTTCTGTTCTATCATATTCTGGCCCACACGTATGAAATACTCAAGATCAAAAAATTGATATTGAGTTTATTTTCTATAGTCAGAAGGAACCATCGCGAGAAAGTAGAAAACATAAGCCAGCCAAAGAAGATGGTTAAAATACCTGAGGTGAAGATAACAAAACAATATTCCTGAAATTCTCCAAGGTCTTTTGCTGGCAAAGACACAATTAGGAGTGTCAGTACTTTGTCAATAGACACAGCTACCGTTGCCTTTTCTTTCAGATTAACAAGATCAAATTAGGCCTACAGAAATATTTGAAATCTCTTTTCGAGGTACTGAATTTAAAAGAACCAATAACAAAAATAACTTTCGGATGGAGGCAAGTTAATTGATTGAATACGAAAGATAACCGCAGTCAAGCATGTCATGAAAACAAAGGATAGTAGATATTCCATCTGAAATTCATGACTAAGATTGATCGATCTACTTCCCGTCCGTAACCTAGCCATGACTTCCAACTAAAGAAAAGGAATGAATTGGTAAAGCAGTAAATTTGACCGATGCACCAATACCCTCAACCAAAATTAGTACTACTATACCATATAGTTATTTTTCTTTTTGTTGATAAGTTACTACTACACCGTGTACTACCTTGCAAAGTTTGTACAAGAAAGTGTTCCGGAGATCAGGATCATCTGTGAATGTCAGCTGATGTATACATGGTGTTCCCTTGAGCTTCTTCAAGAGCCACAACCCAGAATTGAACAAAGAATTTGAACTGTACAGGTAACCTAGATGTGGACCAGATACAGAAACATATGTGTGAAGGAATCTGAGATATGGTTCCATGATACTCTCTGCAAAAGAAGCACATAATCTAAGAAACAGTGAAAGTTAGTTGAAGAACACTGCTGAGATTACAGGGAACAAACCTGTTAAAGCAGTTCTTAATATGATGTTCCCAATGGAATGTCCAACAAAACTTAGCTTAATACTCTTTAAATTTCCAGATCTTGAGGCTTTGTCCATCTTCTTTTTTATGAAAGAAGTTACTTCTTGTGCCAGCCGTAAGCCCATTTCTCTAAAGTCTCCAGCCGTTTTTTCTTCATTAACTTCTGACATAAGAAACTCTATCTTGGGATCTATTAAAAGCCACTGGTTCCGAACAAGCCGCAAGTCTAAATGATGTCCCTGCAATAAATGGTTTCTTAGTGTTAGAAAAGATTATCAGCAAAATGGTTAATGAAAAAGCAGCTTATTACACCATAGTTGCAGTAAACCATAATGAAGTACATTTCTGTGATCCTAGAAAACCCTGAAGTCCCTCATCCATGTATCATACAAAGACTGCAAGTAAAGATTTAGTTTCAGAATGCCTTGTATATCTGGTAGAGTTTATTCAGCATGCCAACCCTTCCTCTTGCATTGCCATTCATGAGGAGAGAAGAAGATCTCAAGAACATCAACCATCAAATTTAAATTACAGGCATTTGGTTCTAGCATAAACATCAGGATCTCCAAAAGACAACTATTTCAGGTTGACATGGAATAGGGTGCTCTTATTCACTTCAATGGTTGTTTGAAGATGTTTCTTCCAATCTTAAATGGTTTATTTCAACTACTGTCATTTTTTGTGTTTCAAAAAGCAATTGTTGAACAATACTTTGATCGAATAGTAACATAGAGTTGAACGAGAATCTATCGAAAACATAGTGTTGAAAGAAAAAAACACTGTTGCAAAACCAAGTATGCCGGGCTTCCAGACCAGGAACTAGAGGTGCATTCTGATAGAGAACCTTCAATAGAAAGAGAATCACATGGTGTATGCAGAAAACAAACAACAGGATTATTAATACGTCCGATGTTAAGGATGATCAACATGCCTGGAATCCATGGACAAAAACCACAATCTTCAAAACACGGCCATTTTGACAAGGGCTTATGCCAGGAATCTTTTTTGTGCCTTTAGAATTTGTCCCAGCTAGCAAGCTCTTTGCATCTTTTGGCTCCCGGTGGATGAAGTATGAATTTCCACTTGTTGACCGCAAAGGTGCATTAACAACACGCTCTACAATTACAATTGGGATGCGCGAAGGGTCTCCAAATATATGCATGTCTTGAATAGATCGACTGTTGATCTGCAATGAACCAGTGCTAATTCATCAATCCATCACAGTGAAGATAACCATACCCAGCATAATATGTCAGATTGTACTAACCCTCATTTGTGCAATACTTCTTCTATGAAGCTCGGCTCGCATAGCTGCAGTCTGGGCAGGCTGCATAAAGCACAATTACAGTTCAAGTTAAATACAACATTAAAAAGTATAGAATATTCTCATCCTTAAAAACTCAGACTTCCTTGCACTATACTTAATGTTCGAGGGAAAAAAATGAAAAGAAACGATAACGATTATAGCAGATCAGAAGAGTTGATATGCTTACGTCCTCAGTTGTCTTCCGCATAACAGGTGCTCTCCCGCTGGAACCATGGTAAGAAGAGCTATCAATGTCACTACTTATGTATTGGTGAGGCATCTCAACTTTAGAATGAACCATCCATATTGACCATTCAGCTCTTCTATCAATAGCCCATTGCTCACGCAGAAAGTCCATAATCAACGCCTTATGAGTCCTAAAGGGAAGTAAAGAACCAGTTTAAGATCTCAAGAAACAGCACTAACAGTAGATGATGAACCCTAGATATAAAAAAACTATTTAAGTGTGATCTTGTCCATGATAGACAAATTGAGGTGCATGATGCATTAACTGGTATCTAAGGCATAAAATGAGGTATTTGTCTTTCTCTATCAGTTCACGAAATGTTACTTATCCGCAAAGACTGAGGGGCTAGATAATATAAGCTCACTGAGTACAAGGTAAATGTAAATGGAAACAAACCTGTGGAACCTCATAAACAAACTCCATAAGTAAAGTACTTGGTTGCCAAGGGAATGATACAACTGGCGTAAGTCATCCTTAGATTGAGACTGGAAAACCCCATCGTTTAGTTTCTGCTTAACAACATAAAGAGTAAGAATTAGCAAGGTGTAGAAGGCAGTCCTCCCTCAGTCCTAAGTTAATATCTACTTATTACGTAGGAACATCCGCAAAAGATAAATGCACTTTTGTGAAAACGTAAGTTATTAAAACTTATATACAACTGACTCTTCATAGTAAGGACAGTCAAAGTCAGAAATTAAATATTAAGACGCACAAAGTTCCATATTAACGTAAGCATAATCAGAATAAAATGCTGCAAGTATGAGGATAATAGGATAAGACCTTGAAGCCATTTGGTATCTTGCTTGGCACTTCTGCTGAAGCCTTATCATTCATCAAGTCTGTGTCTGCACTTGGAGGAAATTTGGATCCTTGTTCATCATCGAACTTGGAAGTAAAATCAGTAAAATCAATAGATTGATTAATAGCCTTGCTAATTTTTTGTAGCTCCTCGAAAAGTATATCACGTGCACCTGAAAAGGCTTTAACAAGCATTTCCTGTTCCAAGAATATGATAAGAAATGCTGGAAAACCACATAATAAATATGATAAGGCAAATGAATCTTATATGTCACACATGCCCAAAAAAAGATATGTGATTCTGTCACGGATCCGTCCTCTTTGTTTAAGGAAACAAACAAATCAACCTTTTTTATTTTCTTTTGAGAGAAAGGTAAGGTAATTTCAGTTACTTGACAGCACCAAGTGAGTACTAATGAGAGAAAGGTAAGGTAATTTCAGTTACTTGACAGCACCAACTGAGCAAAAGCATCCCTACTTAGCTATGCGGGAACTAATGAAGTCTAACATCTGATCTATATAATTAATATTAGACCAAAAATTAGAAAATAATGCAAATATTGGACCGTCATTAGAGGAGTTTTTTCAAAGTAAAATCCAAACACATTTCTTTTCCACAAACAAAACGGAACAATTTTCTAATCCAAACTCCACCTTATGCTCTAGTACACTTTGAATCAGAGGCGGACCCAGGATTTGAGCGTAGAGGGGGCACCACTATCTTTAACATAGATATGCTAATTACAAGCGGCAAAGTTTGGATACTTGGGGCCTAGCCGGTGAAACATCCGGTGGTGAGAAGTGGGTGGGCTATCCTGACGGTGAGATAGGACGAGAGAAGATAGGTTTAGAAGGGGGAAACGGTTTCTTAATTTTTGTTCTCTTAACGTGGAGGGAGAACTGGTGGTAGGATTTTTTTAGGTTTTTTTTTTTTTTTTGGGGGGGGTTTTTTAG